TGTTCATCAGTGAAAAGATGCAAAATGTGACCTTGACCTTTGAATCTAATGACCTTGACCTTTGACCTCAACTTTTTACCTCGGTGTGTCTCTTTGATTTATTCCGAACAACTTTGCTCCATAATGTCATAGCGAAATGTTCACCAGTGAAAAGCTACAAAATTTGACCTTGACCCCTGACCTTGACCTTTGGTCAGTTGACTCCTTGATTAATTCCGAACACATTTGCTCCATTATGTCATAGCGAAATGTTCAGCAGTGAAAAGCTACAAAATTTGACCTTGACCCCTGACCCAATGACCTTGACCTTTGGTCAGTTGAAACCTTGTTTAATTCTGATCAACTTTGCTCCATCATGTCATAACAAAACGTTCATCAGTGAAAAGATGCAAAATTTGACCTTGAACTTTGAATCTAATGACCTTGACCTTTGACCTCAACTTTTTACCTCAGTGTGTCTTTTTTATTTCTTCACAACTTTGCTCCATAATGTCATAGCGAAATGTTCACCAGTGAAAAGCTACAAAATTTGACCTTGACCCCTGACCCGATGACCTTGACCTTTGGTCAGTTTACTACTTGTTTAATTCTGATCAACTTTGCTTCATAATGTCATAACAAAATGTTCATCAGTGAAAAGATGTAAAATTTGGCCTTGACTTTTGAACCTAATGACCTTGACCTTTGACCTTGACTTTTTACCTCAATGTGTATTTTTGTGAACTGAACATCTTGACCAAGTTTCATGTACATCGGTCAATAAATATCAAAGTTATCAGCCAGGAACAAAATGTGTGGACCGACAGACAGATCGACAGACAGACAGACAGAGTGATTACTATAGGGCACCCGTATCTCCGATACGGGGCCCTAATTATTCCAACCTTTGAGTTGGAAGAGTTCAAATGTGTCTTCAGGGGTGAATGAGTAAAACAGAATGGTGTGACATTGAAAGCAATAAGATACCTCAATATTCCCTTCTTCCATTTTGTCTGATATATTAAGAGAAAAAATAATACCACAGCCAGTTGTCTCCACATAATTACGAATTGTTTCTCCTCTTAGTCTGCATTATATCTTCGTTGTCCGATGTATGATAAGACGCGATTTAGGGACTTTCTGCCTCTTTGTCATGTGTGTATATCAGGCAAGATTTAGAGACTACATTCCCGTTCTGATATAGTATTGTATCAAAAGGATTTAGAGACGATGTTTCCTCCCTGTTGTCTGATATATCAGTGAAGATTAAGAGAATCCCTTCCCTGTTGTCCGATATATCAGAGAGGATTTAGAGAATCCCTTCCCCATTGTCTGATATATCAGAGAGATTTAGAGAATCCCTTCCCTGTTGTCCCACATATCAGGCAAGATTTAGAGAATCCCTTCCCTGTTGTCCAACATATCAGGCAAGATTTAGAGAATCCCTTCCCTGTTGTCCAACATATCAGGCAAGATTTAGAGAAGCCCTTCCCTGCAGTCTGATATATCGGATAAGATTTATAGAATCCCTTCCCTGTTGTCTGATATATCAGAGAGGATTTAGAGAATCCCTTCCCTGTTGTCTGATACATCAGAGAGGATTTAGAGAATCCCTTCCCCATTGTCTGATATATCAGAGAAGATTTAGAGAATCCCTTCCCTGGTGTCTGATATTTTGGAGAAGATTTCGAGAATCCCTTCCCTGTTGTCTGATATATCAGAGAAGATTTAGAGAATCCCTTCGCCATTGTCTGATATATCAGAGAAGATTTAGAGATTCCCTTCCCTGGTGTCTGATATATCGGAGAAGATTTAGAGAATCCCTTCCCTGTTGTCTGATATATCGGATAAGATTTATAGAATCCCTTCCCTGTTGTCTGATATATCAGAGAAAATTTAGAGAATCCCTTCCCTGTTGTCTGATATATCAGAGAAGATTTAGAGAATCCCTTCCCTGTTGTCTGATATATCAGAGAAGATTTAGAGAATCCCTTCCCTGTTGTCTGATATATCAGAGAAGATTTAGAGAATCCCTTCCCTGTTGTCTGATATATCAGAGAAGATTTAGAGAATCCCTTCCCTGTTGTCTGATATATCAGAGAAGATTTAGAGAATCCCTTCCCTGTTGTCTGATATATCAGAGAAGATTTAGAGAATCCCTTCCCTGTTGTCTGATATATCAGAGAAGATTTAGAGAATCCCTTCCCTGTTGTCTGATATATCAGAGAAGATTTAGAGAATCCCTTCCCTGTTGTCTGATATATCAGAGAAGATTTAGAGAATCCCTTCCCTGTTGTCTGATATATCAGAGAAGATTTAGAGAATCCCTTCCCTGTTGTCTGATATATCAGAGAAGATTTAGAGAATCCCTTCCCTGTTGTCTGATATATCAGAGAAGATTTAGAGAATCCCTTCCCTGTTGTCTGATATATCAGAGAAGATTTAGAGAATCCCTTCCCTGTTGTCTGATATATCAGAGAAGATTTAGAGAATCCCTTCCCTGTTGTCTGATATATCAGAGAAGATTTAGAGAATCCCTTCCCTGTTGTCTGATATATCAGAGAAGATTTAGAGAATCCCTTCCCTGTTGTCTGATATATCAGAGAAGATTTAGAGAATCCCTTCCCTGTTGTCTGATATATCAGAGAAGATTTAGAGAATCCCTTCCCTGTTGTCTGATATATCAGAGAAGATTTAGAGAATCCCTTCCCTGTTGTCTGATATATCAGAGAGGATTTAGAGAATCCCTTCCCTGTTGTCTGATATATCAGAGAAGATTTAGAGAATCCCTTCCCTGTTGTCTGATATATCAGAGAAGATTTAGAGAATCCCTTCCCTGTTGTCTGATATATCGGAGAAGATTTAGAGAATCCCTTCCCTGTTGTCTGATATATCAGAGAAGATTTAGAGAATCCCTTCCCTGTTGTCTGATATATCAGAGAAGATTTAGAGAATCCCTTCCCTGTTGTCTGATATATCGGAGAAGATTTAGAGAATCCCTTCCCTGTTGTCTGATATATCAGAGAAGATTTAGAGAATCCCTTCCCTGTTGTCTGATATATCAGAGAAGATTTAGAGAATCCCTTCCCTGTTGTCTGATATATCGGAGAAGATTTAGAGAATCCCTTCCCTGTTGTCTGATATATCGGAGAAGATTTAGAGAATTCCTTCCCTGTTGTCTGATATATCAGAGAGGATTTAGAGAATTCCTTCCCTGTTGTCTGATATATCAGAGAGGATTTAGAGAATCCCTTCCCTGTTGTCTGATATATCAGAGAAGATTTAGAGAATCCCTTCCCTGTTGTCTGATATATCAGAGAAGATTTAGAGAATCCCTTCCCTGTTGTCTGATATATCAGAGAAGATTTAGAGAATCCCTTCCCTGTTGTCTGATATATCAGAGAAGATTTAGAGAATCCCTTCCCTGTTGTCTGATATATCAGAGAAGATTTAGAGAATCCCTTCCCTGTTGTCTGATATATCAGAGAAGATTTAGAGAATCCCTTCCCTGTTGTCTGATATATCAGAGAAGATTTAGAGAATCCCTTCCCTGTTGTCTGATATATCAGAGAAGATTTAGAGAATCCCTTCCCTGTTGTCTGATATATCAGAGAAGATTTAGAGAATCCCTTCCCTGTTGTCTGATATATCAGAGAAGATTTAGAGAATCCCTTCCCTGTTGTCTGATATATCAGAGAAGATTTAGAGAATCCCTTCCCTGTTGTCTGATATATCAGAGAAGATTTAGAGAATCCCTTCCCTGTTGTCTGATATATCAGAGAGGATTTAGAGAATACTTTCCCTGTTGTCTGATATATCAGAGAAGATTTAGAGAATCCCTTCCCTGTAGTGTGATATATCGGATAAGATTTATAGAATCCCTTCCCTGTTGTCTGATATATCAGAGAAAATTTAGAGAATCCCTTCCCTGTTGTCCGATATATCAAAGATTTAGAGAATCCCTTCCCTGTTGTCCGATATATCAGAGAGGATTTAGAGAATCCCTTCCCTGTTGTCTGATATATCAGAGAAGATTTAGAGAATTCCTTCCCTGTTGTCTGATATATCAGAGAAGATTAAGATCAGAGAAGATTAAGAGAATCCCTTCCCTGTTGTCTGATATATCAAAGATTTACAGAATCCCTTCCCTGTTGTCTGATATATCAGAGAGGATTAATAGAATCCCTTCCCTGTTGTCTGATATATCGGATAAGATTTATAGAATCTCTTCCCTGTTGTCTGATATATCAAAGATTTACAGAATCCCTTCCCTGTTGTCCGATATATTAGAGAGGATTTAGAGAATCCCTTCCCTGTTGTCTGATACATCAGAGAGGATTTAGATAATCCCTTCCCTGTTGTCTGTTATATCAGAGAGGATTAAGAGAATCCCTTCCCTGTTGTCTGATATATCAAAGATTTAGAGAATCCCTTCCCTGTTGTCCGATATTTCAGAGAGGATTTAGAGAATCCCTTCCCTGTTGTCTGATATATCAGAGAAGATTTAGAGAATTCCTTCCCTGTTGTCTGATATATCAGAGAAGATTAAGAGAATCCCTTCCCTGTTGTCTGATATATCAGAGAGGATTTAGAGAATACTTTCCCTGTTGTCTGATATATCAGAGAAGATTTAGAGAATACTTTCCCTGTTGTCTGATATATCAGAGAAGATTTAGAGAATTCCTTCCCTGTTGTCTGATATATCAGAGAGGATTAAGAGAATCCCTTCCCTGTTGTCTGATATATCAAAGATTTACAGAATCCCTTCCCTGTTGTCCTATATATCAGAGAGGATTTAGAGAATCCCTTCCCTGTAGTGTGATATATCGGATAAGATTTATAGAATCCCTTCCCTGTTGTCTGATATATCAAAGATTTACAGAATCCCTTCCCTGTTGTCCGATATATCAGAGAGGATTTAGAGAATCCCTTCCCTGTTGTCTGATATATCAGAGAGGATTTGATAATCCCTTCCCTGTTGTCTGATATATCAGAGAAGATTAAGAGAATCCCTTCCCTGTTGTCTGATATATCGGAGAAGGTTTAGAGAATCCCTTCCCTGTTGTCTGATATATCGGAGAGGATTTAGAGAATTCCTTCCCTGTTGTCTGATATATCAGAGAAGATTAAGAGAATCCCTTCCCTGTTGTCTGATATATCGGAGAGGATTTAGAGAATTCCTTCCCTGTTGTCTGATATATCAGAGAGGATTAAGAGAATCCCTTCCCTGAAGTCTGATATATAGGAGAAGATTTAGAGAATCCCTTCCCTGTTGTCTGATATATCGGAGAAGATTTAGAGAATCCCTTCCCTGTTATCTGATATCGGAGAAGATTTAGAGAATCCCTTCCCTATTGTCTGATATATCGGAGAAGATTTAGAGAATCCCTTCCCTATTGTCTGATATATCGGAGAAGATTTAGAGAATCCCTTCCCTGTTGTCTGATATATCGGACAAGATTTAGAGAATCCCTTCCCTGTTGTCCATCAGTAGTAGTCGAAGACTAATGGTATGACGTCGACAACGGTGAGTAAACATATCAGAGAAGATTTAGAGAATCCCTTCCCTGTTGTTTGATATATCGGAGAAGATTTAGAGAATACCTTCCCTATTGTCTGATATATCGGAGAAGGTTTAGAGAATCCCTTCCATGTTGTCTGATATATCGGACAAGATTTAGAGAATCCCTTCCCTGTTGTCCATCAGTAGTAGTCGAAGACTAATGGTATGACGTCGACAACAGTGAGTAAACATATCAGAGAAGATTTAGAGAATCCCTTACCTGTTGTTTGTTATATCAGAGAAGATTTAGAGAATATCAACACAAAAGTGAAAGATATGTTCGAGTTGGCAATATAAAGTCGAACGTCGATTCGGGTACGCTATAATACATGTACACTTGGTTGTTATGCATATACAGATGTATGAAATGACAAATCAAATTGACAATTCCATTTGGCCAACACTTTGATATGCGAGAATCTATGAGCCCCCTCATCTCGGTTTAGAAATGGCTTTCTCCTGTTATGTTTCATAGTTACATATAACTGATTAACATCAAAGGTTATTCTTTACATGAATAACTGAATTAATCAGAAGTTCACATGACAGGCCACCTAATCTGAAATTTGCCCTGGGAAAATCTCGATAAAAAAGACATGTTCAAGGAATATTTAAAGGAAAGGTGTTCGATCCAAGTAAAAACAATATGGTTGTATAAGGTCCCAGCAAAGTAAAAAAAATGTTTAACAATATATAACGTAAGTTTACTGTAATAAAACAACAATTTAAAGATAACATCCATATCACAGTAATCAATAACAATAATAACACCTCATCATACTAATAATAATTAGACATTAAGGTATTTTAAATTTGCATTTTAAAATGTCATTGTATGTTTTACCATGTGACACTAAAATAAAATAAATTGTATTGTGTATTGTGTTGTACTAATCACATTAGTTAAACTTAACAATTTGATAACGTCCAATGGAGAGTGCAATTACTAGGTGCAGTTATACAAATTTAAATAATACTTATCTGAACATTTTCGGAATAATAATAAAGTTTGAACACGATAAGGATTCAAAATTTTGAAAAATAGGATCATCAGTAACACAGGATTGACGCAATAATTATTGGACCCAATCCTTAACTCCACCTGCCTATTATTATGCAGACTCATAGTCCAAAGAGACAAGAGATCCGGTGGCAGTAGATCCAGGTTTCTGAAAAGGGGACTGGATGGTTTTCGTACTTACTCCTCTGGCCCCTCCCCCCTTCTCTCTCTTTCATTTAACATATTCCTGTCATTCTCAATCATTTAATAATTCATAAAGTAGCGACAAGTAAAAACGTTTAAACTATCGACAGACATGAATCTCCGAATTGGTCAAACTTGTTTATACTCAGACCTACATATAAAAAATTCATGATAAAATATCTATTATTTAGGACTTCATTTAACCTTTAAAACTTTACGAAACCTTTATACTATTATATCTGTGATTTGTGTCAGATTTCTAACTTCATTGTATTTTTGAGTTATGCTAATTTTACTCTCTGATGGTGATAACTTTTATTCCAAGATATACCTTTCTTGTTTTAAATTTTAATATTTGTAAAAATATCAGAATTTTAAATGTTAAATTTGCAGAAATGTGTCAAGAAACAAATGTAGTTTGTTGCAATTGAGTCAAGCTATTAAACAAAGTCTAGATTCCCACTCATTGAACATGTTTTACAGAGTTTGTTAAATTGGAACTCTTTGGAAAGGAGATGCATTTAATAACAAGGTAACATACAGCCTTAAATAACAACAAGGTAACATACAGCCTTAAATAACATTCCATTGTATATATACAGCCTTAAATAACAACAAGGTTACATACAGCCTTAAATAACAACAAGGTAACATACAGCCTTAAATAACATTCCATTGTATATATAGCCTAAGGCACTACAAATAAATTGTAATACCTTCAGGATCCAAATTGTATACATACTGACATGCCTATGGTACTTTAATTTCTTGTGTGTTGCTCGCTTTGTTATATTGCCTTCATACCTCAAAATATCATGTGTAAGTCTACAGATTTCCCGCTCCAGTATATATCCTGCAGGATATCTGCTACACAAAAACTATTTTATGCAATGAGTACCAGGTTCATCAACAAATTTATGTAATCATCTGGATATATATTTAACAATGCAAGTAATTGAATATTTCAAAATAGATATAATTTGATTGTTTTTACTTTATACACATATCCTGTATAAACCAATAGCCATTCATTATTCTTGTGTGACAGCCTTAGTGACTCCTAGTACTGCACCTAGTACTCCACCTAGACGATAGAGATATTAATTTTATCTGGTTTTACATTTATTAATTATTACACACAGGAAATATAATTTTCTAGTTTTATGGAAGATTTTATTAAACAGCATCCTCTACGTATACCTCCTCCCAAATCCAAAATGCAGTAAACTAGTGTCTCTAGTAGTCACTAAATTTTAAACATGCCTAAAAAGCTGTCTATGTATTTTTCTTATTTTGATGCTTTTTATAATTTGGTCAGTGATTCAAGTGCAAAAACACCTGTAAACACATGTGGAATAAAAAGCAAAGAAACTGCTCTAAAAAAATACCCTGTTATAAGTATTAGATGTCAATGAAAGGCTGCAGAACAGTTGAAGGTTTTATTCTATGTGAACAGCAGAGAGATTCTTGGATATTTTCAGAACATCAAATGATGAAGTGGTCTCATGTATTTCAGAATTCTTGTGATGATTTCCTCCAGTCAAACAGATGTACTATTTCTGTGTATACTGCCATACTTCTCAGTCTGTGACGTGTAGCAGCCTCGTGTATAAGTCAATACAACAGAGAGCTCCTCTGATGTTTCAGTCTATGAAATGCACTCACTTGTGTATAAGAGTTTATGCGACTGTTTCCCAGTCTTCCAGATGTAGCGGCCCTGTGTATAAGTCAAGCAGACGGCGAGGAGGGGGACCTGTGTAGATGACGACTGTGGTGGGTTGTGACACAAGGTATATATATAAGGCCACACATGCATGCCACACAGACGCATCATTTTCTGGCTTACGAAGGTATGACTCCTTGTAACGTTGGAATGCCTTATTGTATTCCCCTAGCTTCCTCCGACAACAAGCGATCATGTTGAGTGTGACATGGGCCTTGTGAGTTTGCACTTCTACCTCCAAGGTTGCCTCCAACTTTTCCAAACTTTTTCTTGCCTTCTTCAGATGTCCAAGAGAGAAAAACGAGTTGAAAATCATGAATCGCCCATAGACAATCGGTGAGAGGAACAAGCCAAGAGGGTGTGTACAAAAAAGGAGGTCAAACTCCAACTCGGGAGGAACCAAGACCTTGGGATTTTTCCACAATGGCACCTTCATGGCAAAAACCCCAATAATTCTCTCCGCGAGTCGGATTTCTTTCCCATTTACCATGCGGTCATACTCAAGGCAGTTTTCATTGTCAAAGTAATTAGTGATCCCATCATTGTCCACAAACATGCAGAACCAATCACAAAGCTCCATGGCCTGCTGCGCCATGCCCAGGCTCTCCACAAACTTGTGTTGGAGGTAGTAGTAGGTGGATACAGACAGTCTCCCACTTGTCACATCCATTGCACTGATCTGCAACATCTCACGCTCAATATCCAGACAGAGCTCCCCTTGTTGTAGTGTGTTCAGCAAGTACTTGACCTCCAGGTACTCCTTGAACAGCAGAGTAGCCCTAGAGCGTTGAATGTTGTCAACCAGATACTTCACATAATCTTTTTCATTCTCAGACAGATCCTCTGAAAGGAATATCTGTACAGCCCGTTCAAATATTAGGTAAATTTCGGATGTGCTTCTCTGGTTGATGTAGTGCATGTTCTTGTATTCTCCTATTTCTTGAAGAAGTTCTACACCTGCACCGTCGTAAGGAATGTAACCCCTTACAATCAGCCGGTCAATTTCAGGGCAGGGCCGAATCCGACCACCAAACATGAACTTTGATGAACTTTCTAGCATGAATTCTATCCCTGTAGCTTTCAAAAATGTCAAAGTATTGAGCAAAGGTTTCACGATATTTTCTGCAATGTTGGTAGGAAACAGATTTGTTTTAGGTATAAAATAATGAGGAATGCGTCTTTTTTTAATCCAGTTGATTAAACACTGAATGGCCTTGAAAAAGTGGATGACGCACTTCTCAGCCACCCATTGGTGAGGTGGGATTTTGTCCATTAAGTAAAGAATGGTCGTAGTGATAACATACGGATACAGAATCTCCATAAATTCTTTTCTGTGGTCTACGATCTTGCCCACCATGATCCGAAGGAGAGCATAAACTTTGAACTGAATATCTGAAAGGGATCGAATCAGAAGTTTTTCTGCTGTTGAAAATGAAATTCGCCATTGAATTGGATCCTCCTTGTGCTTGCCAGATGCTGTTGGAACCAGGTGGCAACCAGTTGCCAAAATTTGTGTTACAAGATCAGGATGTGGCCATCTTTTCTTAAGGCGAGTTTTGGACCATTCTTCAGCTTCCTGTGGCCATGTTTCACAGTGGAGACAGAAAGTGTAATTGTACTTCTGAACCGCATGTTTACCCTCAGACTGCTGGCCATATTCTGGCAAATCACTGCGGCACAATGACTCGCAAATCTGTATAAAATGTTTAGTAGGAAAATATTCATGTATATTCCACGACTCTTGGTTGAATTCCTCAGTCACTGCCTGGACCAGACTGGCTCCGTACACCTTGGTGTAGCCAGGTTCATAGTTCCTGGAATCCATTGCATATAATAGTTCATTGTCTTCATAACCCCGCCTGTATTTATGATACGGCTTTTCCTTCTTAGCTCTTTTGTATTCCCGTAGACTTTTCAGGCTGTTAAAAACTTTCATTCCCGTTGGTACAATCAGCATGTCTATCTCAGAGTTGGGGAGCCTAAATCCCTCTGCGTTACTTCCGATATATGCAAGCGAGAAGTGAGAACGATAATTCTGCACTGCATAGAACATATCGTCCATCGTTCGTCGTGATTTTACGAGATCCAATGATCCAACTGTGTCCAATACATCTAACGTATCAGAGATGAGAACCCCTGTAGCATTAATGGTCTCTTCCTTCTGTTCAATTAAAGAGTCACTAGATATCAGATGTGCTACCTTCTTCCTCACTGATCCAAACGCCCACTCTGTTATGCCAAATTGTACTTTCGGTTTGAGTACTTTGATTTGTAGAACATTCACACACATCCTTCCATCCCTCGGAGGTTTTGAGATGTGGTAGCCCGTATACATCGCCTCCATATTGGCATCCTGAACACGATCTTGCTCAGCGGGGACATAACCATATGACTCCATGTCCACACCCTCCATTGTAAAGTGCGGCACATCAACAGACCTCACATGATTTGCATTAGCGTGAAGGTTTTTAATCTGCTCTTCAACTTCAAGCACAGTCTTTGTTGAGTATTTCTTCATCATGGCATGCCGCGTTCTAGCCTCCCTGTCATCAAGCGGGTATTTACAGATGGAACCCTGCATCTTGGAAGTCATTTTTGGATCCTGTAAAAATTTAAATAATTAGATTTGTTGAAAATCATATTCGAATCCAAAGTACAGTCAGAAGAAATCAAGTACAAGTAATTTTTGCCAGAATGAAATGCTTTAATTACTGTGATTTTTTTATGAAAATTAAAATTAATAAAAAAAATGTTAATTTTTTTATTAAACTATTTTAAAGAAATTCATTTGTGAAATACATATCATAGCTAAAATGCCAACACCCCCTGGCCACCGAACTTCAATCACAAAGGATCGACATGCTTCATGTATCCTTTCTAAGCCTAAACATTGGTCATCAATATGTTATTGTAACTATGTAACAAGCTGAATACAAGAAAATATGGATTGTTACCAATTTATAGAATTATGGAGATACATAACTGACAGTACAAAACATGAAACTGAAGTTTACATAATTATATGAGTTAACTAACATCCCACCTCATTAATTGGCCTCCCCTATTTAAATTAGAATGTAAAGAAAATAATACACAATATAGCTGTCCAAGATTTTTTTTCTTCAAAACTTACAAGTCTACCTCCAGTTTAAGATTTGTAATGAAAATCAATTTAATACCTAGTCGACTATATTTTCCTGTTATCAAAAGTTAATTTAACTAAATACATAATACAACTAAAAGTAGATCCATTACAACTAACCAACTTTATAACTTGATGTTGTGTATGTCATTTTCAAACATATTTCACGACATCACAAATGTTTCTTTGATACCATCAATTTTCAATACATTACATAAGTGTCAACCTCTGAAACCATCAACATGGAAGATCCCCCTCATTCCACGTTTCCATTGAGGGAGAAAGTGTGTGGAACGTTACTGAAACTGCTTTACTCAATTGATCTTTCCCTTTTTATGTATCAAAATAACTCCAGAAAGCATTCATTTGATTCAGACACACCTGTTATAATCATTACACACACACTGCAGTAAGTAACTAGGAGATCATTTGACCATAGAATATATTCTGAGTTGGTGTGAGTTTGGACTTGAATGCCAAGGGAGTTTCGAGGGTGATTGGTAAATTTTGATCAAAATAAGGGAGTCTCCCTCCTAATGAAAGATGTTTGACAGCTATGATATTATGGCATTGACTTGCACTTTGCACACTCTAGGTACGTAATTAAGAGTACCAAAAGTGATATTATATTGTTACTATCATTAACTATCTGTTGAAATCTTTTTCTACAGAAATATTCCATATAAAACAAATGTTCCAATGCATTTTCACAGAATTATGTAGTTGAAATTTTACATATTTTCATATTTGAAAATAAAAATTTGCAAAACAAAATAGAAAATTGCTAACTCAGGATCATTAAATGACTCTCGAAAAGATCAACTATACTCCAGCTTTTAATGGTGCTTGAGGATTGGACAGGGTTTTTAGATCATGGAGGGGGAGTTTGATGTCATTTACATGGATTTCATAAAGGCATTTGACAAGGTTCTACACCGCAGACTAATTGGAAAACTTAGGAATTATGCAATAAATGACCAAGTCACTAATTGGGTAGAAAACTTTCTTACACTAAGGAAACAAAGGGTAATGGTAAATTGAAATTCATCCAAAGACCATCCCATATTAAGTGGAATCCCTCAAGGAAGTGTCCTAGGTCCAGCACTATTTGAAATCTACAACAAGAGGCCCAAGAGGGCCTGTATCGCTCACCTGAATATTTAAGCAGTCATAGCAAAATATTCTCATTAAATATTATATTGCACTAAAAACGTTTCCCTCGCTAACTTTGTTGGCTCCATCTGTTGAAACTACCAGCAAAATATTCTTATAAAATTCTATGCTTTTTGATTCTTCAGAAGTTGCTTGACATATTTTTCCCTGTGACCTTGTAAGAAGGTCAATGTCATTTTCCTTCTCAAATTGGTTAGCTCTATTCAAAAAGCTTCCAGCCAAATCTTATGAATCCATTTCTTTTAGTTCTTAAGAACAAATCCATTAAAATGTTGTTGACCTCTGTGACCTCTAAAGTAGGTTGAGGTCATTTTCATTTGCAAACTTCGGTGAGCTCTATCCCAGGAAGTCACCAGCCAAATATTAAGATTTTATAACTTTCAGTTGTTCAGAAGAAGTTGTTCTAAGCGTTAGTCATATCTGACTCCGGTGACCTTGAAAGTAGGTCAAGGTCACTTTCATTTGCAAACTTTGTTGGGCTCTTTCCCAGGAAATAACCAGCCAAATATTATGGTTCTATAACTTCCAGTTCTTCAGAAGTCATTTGAAGTGTTTGACATATCTGTCTCATGTGACCTTGAAAGTAGGTTTTCATTCTCAAAATCTGTTAAGCTCCATCCCAGGAAGCCATCAGCCAAATATGAAGATTCTATACCTTTTAGTTCTTCAGAAGAAGACGTTTGAAGTTTTTGACATATTTGACCCCAGTGACCTTTAAAGTAGGTCAAGGTCATTTTCGGTCTCAAACTTTGTAGGGCTCCTACCAACAAAGCTTTCAGTCAAATATCATGACTCTAGGCCTGTCCGTTCTTCAGGTGAAGTTGTTTAAAGGAAAAGTTGGCGGACAAGGACGGACGGACAGATGACGGACACCGCACCACGACATAAGCTAAAAATGATCTACCAGAATGTACCTTGTCGAATGTCTTCTTGTTTGCCGATTATACAAAAGTCTATAGAGAAAATTTAGGAGCGATGAGGATAGAAAAGTGATACAACAAGACCTGGATAATTTACAGGACTGGTCCAACACATGGCTTCTGACATTTCATTCCATTAAATCCTATTAACAAGAGGTCCAGAGGGCCTGTATTGCTCACCTGTTTCTTTTGTTACATAAAACTGACATATAGGGAACTTCAGACCAAATTTGGTAACTAGAACACAAGACATTTTAACATCTCTTAAATGCTTTTTAAGATATTGTTGTTTGAAATTTCAAATTTTTATTTTAAAGCTTTTAACCCATGTTGACGTTTGACTCCGGCTAGCACTTAAAGTTGACATTTGACCTCATTACTGTAATAAAGAAAACGATTCACAGCTGGTCTATATATCATATCCAAGTATCATGACTCTAGACCAAATGCTCCTTAGGATATCGTTGTTTTAAGTTTTTAACATATTTGACCCCTGTGACTTTGAAACTAGGTCAAGGTCATTATAATGAGGAAACTTTATAGCACTCCATCCAAGATCTCTACTTGCAAAATATCATGACCCTGGGCCTTATGGAACATGAGAAGAAGATTGTTAAAGTTGTTAACCCATGTCGAAATTTGACCCCCGACTAGCACTTTAAGTCGACCTTTGACCTCATTACTGTAATTGAGGAAAAGATTTGCACTGCTGGTCTACATATAACATACCCAAGTATCATGACTCTAGTCCAAATGGTTCTTAGGATATTGTTGTTTGAGTAGGTCAAGGTCATTTTAATGAGGAAACTTTTTTACCTACTGGCCAAATATCATGACCCTAGGTCCTACAGTAATTCAGAAGAAGTCGCTCAAAAGAAAAAGTTAACGGACGGACAACAGACGGACGGACGGACGGACAATGGACGCCGCAGTACGGCATAAGCACACATGGCCCATTAGGCCAGGTGAGCTGAAAATACTTAACCAATGTTGTTAACCAGGAGTTGTAAATACACAGCATCAAGATGAGAGTCCTTACTTATAAGTTGCATTAAAGCAGCATGTTTAACATGATTGAGTTAACCTTGACAGGGGAAGTCACTGTAAGCCAGAAAATATCCCTTTGGTCCTTTCATCGTCTACTGTATACATAAGGAGGAGTACAAAATCAGCTCAGAGTTTAACTCATCTAACTATGATTATGCAGTGGTACATTTTAGCTTAAATACCATGTGTACAAGAACAAAGTATATGCCACTGGTAGGTAATTCATAGTTTAGTGAATCCCTTCTTGTTGTTATCAGTGTATACTGGAATGCAAGGGCCAGACTGGGGTCCGAAACTAGGACCCTCCGAATTCTAGACGGACACTCTACCAATTGAGCTACATGGTCATAAGCAATCAACCCAGACTAGTTTCGCTACATTAATTACCCCCCCCCCCCCCCCCAAAGTATTCACCCCCGAAGACAAAACTATTAACAAGTCAGGTTCGGATGTCGCCTTATTAAGCGTTCACTAAGTGCTTGAAACAAGGGTTGACAAGCTCACCAATTTTAACGGCCAGACAGAGGTTTGAACCCTGCTGAGGACCCTCCAAACTCCCCAACGGACGCTCTACCAATTAATTGAGCTACCTGTTCGTCGACGATCGACCAAGTCCAGTTCCACTACATCAGCAATGTAATAATTACACTGCTTTAATATCACTATCATAAAAACTCTGCCATTCACCTTTTAGGAAAGGTATTCTTGTCTATTTTTACCATTTTTATTATTGTGTTAATTGCAAAAAGATGAAAATAGATCAAACATGTACTGCTGCAAAACTCTGGTCGAATTTGTATGAGGTTACAACTTACGTATGTACCTAACTATACCTTTAACTCAAGACTATGGTCAATAATTGGGAAAAGCAAACACACTATCATGTTGATAATGTTGGAAACATGCATAGACAAGACCGCTTCTTTGTTATGTACAATTAACCAGGTTACCAAGAAATGACAATCTTATCAGTACCTTTGTCATACTATCTTGCATTCCTGACAGTATTTTTCACAAAAATGATAAACGATGTCGTACTCGATTTAGTATTTTTACTAAAGAAAACAATTTCATTGGGCCCTAAGTTCCGAACAACCTGAGCTAACTGAATGCAGGTGTTTCAGAGTCTATATTGAATGCTTTCAAATGCATACGTTAACTTCAGTGTGCATGCATTTAACTATTAAATTGTGAATCCAATATGTAATCCGTTATCAAATGGTATAATTACCCGTTAAACTTTTCCCAGTGTCTTTCTGTTCCTAGCCGTTCGCCATGGCCTCTTTCTATAAATAAACTTGGAAGCGAAAGGGAGTTTCCCTACGACGTGTGACGTATTTCCGGCAAGTATAGAATCAAAGTACTGAAAGTACTCCAGACACATGCTTTCTTGATTATAACATTTTAGGAAAAACAAACACAATAGTCAGTTGAGATGCAGGATAAACACCATTTAAATTTGATGAAAATGACGTGAACGAATATTTACTTTAAATATTGTTGTCTGTGTTGGCAATAGTCTGAAATGTATTTTCCTTCCGAGGACCAACAACAAGTACTGCTTCAAGAAGCTTTGGGCTCTGCTTTTGCCATAAATAAAGAGTTGACTTCCGAATGAATGATTATATGATTGTTGCAATATCTCCTTAGTGCCTATTGGTAGAGGGTGAAACATATATTTCCTACAGACCAGCAACAGTGCACGTGTGTCACAAATGTGACAAACGGTCAACTAGGATTTTGCCTTGGGTCATATGTCAGTGTACACCTCTTCGTATGATTATGTTAATGGTAACAGCATGAAACTTAAATCAATTTCTATATCCCTCATCCGGGGACCGTGAAAGTTGTCTTGAGTTCATATTTTTCTGACATTAAAAATATCATTTTCTTACTTACGTAAACTAGGGGTATAGCATGGAATCCATTCTACAATAAGTTAGTCAAGTGTATTGTGTGCTATCGTGAAATGTGCTGAGGCAACAGTTAATCACAGTCCCAAAATTTTTCCAAGTTTAGGGTCAATTAAGCCCATTGCTTGCTAATTTCACATCATGTGAATTGCACTAGACTTGCCATGTAAACTTCCATGGACAGTTACATGCTGTGTTATTATATTATATACAGATTTTCAAGCCACATGCGGCTTAATACTGCTCTGTAAGTTACACAAGTATGTTCATGGGACTACACACTGGCGTATTGCATGTATGTGTATTTATACAAGTATTTGATACACAAACAGTTATGCCAGTGGTCTTGGACGGTTAAGACCAGGGTAGGGGTGAGGGATTTCCTCAGCAAATACATCTCACAGAATTTTTTTTATCGGAAAGTCCCCCATCCTTCATAACTGTCCTCATTTAGATATAAATGAATGACATCCATATAAGGAGATATCAGATACCATATAAGGGCTGAGAGACGATATAAGGTCATAGATGGCGCAAGTATCTACTGTGCAATTCCACGTTAAGGTAATAGGATTGTGTCGCCATTTCCCAGTAGAATTTCTTCAAACTTTGTAGTTATATTGCTTTTAAAGGGACATCACGTGAAAAGGCGTTTNATTTATTTAGCTTTAAACATAAATGTGTTGCCAATAAAATTAAACAAGGGATGGGGCACAAGTTTTTACAGCCTTCTCCCGTCATACATTTACAATTAAATGTCAACAATGATAATAGGCATAAACATAAAGTAGATATATTTAAATATATATTGAATTTAGTACCGGAATGTGGCCGGTACAGATGGTACGTGTCTAAACACCTTCCCTACACCAAGGGACAAATCTTTCTGATTTTTNACGGTTTCCAAAGAGGCCCCCAGAGAGGGGCCGTCAGGCAACTGCAACTTCTTACCGCACTATGAAACCAAGTTATATGATTTCTAAGTCCGTATTCAAACTTATTGAACAGTAATTATTCATCTTTAGAAGTTAATTGAACACTTGCCAATATTCAGAATTTAGATTTATTTAGCTTTAAACATAAATGTGTTGCCAATAAAATTAAACAAGGGATGGGGCACAAGTTTTTACAGCCTTCTCCCGTCATACATTTACAATTAAATGTCAACAATGATAATAGGCATAAACATAAAGTAGATATATTTAAATATATATTGAATTTAGTACCGGAATGTGGCCGGTACAGATGGTACGTGTCTAAACACCTTCCCTACACCAAGGGACAAATCTTTCTGATTTTTTTAATATGTTGCCGGGGCAGAGGAGGCCGGGTATTCATATTAGCACTAATTAAAATCTTGCATGTAAAAACAAAAATAATCGTTTAATTCAGCAATATAATTAAATCAGACCATTTTATTGAACCCGGTGATATTATAAATTATGTAAATCCACGGACTTCGATAACACGTATCTCGGTGACCGAGAAAATACGCCGTGGGCCATCATAACAGTTATCCCATGGAGGACCTCATAGAAAAATCAAACTAACCAGTCACTTATCCCTTCCTTTCGCATAAACCACTGTATAATTATAGAAACACAAAGTAAACTCTCTCCAATACATGCCCATTAACATATTAAACTAAGTTCATCTGTGTTCAAACTCAGACAAAGATACTAGCGAGCTTAATAGTTTTAGATATTTATTCATAACATAAACAGCGCTAGCATTTCTGTCGATTCCATTTCAGCTTAACCGGCTATCCGGAAGAATACATGCACCGTACTAACTGCTACGGCAGTTATTTTCTCCTTTGAATACTGCCCACCTGCAATAATGATTCCGTAACGTACTCCTTGCGCTATCTTTTGACCATTTGACAACTTTTCATTTCGTAGCTGACACGGTACAACACTTTTCTTTCGCTTACTTCACACGGCCAGTCATTTTGTTTACAAAGAAATGGTGTGCTATGCGCATGCGCTGGTAGAGGGAAATCCCTGAACAAAACGTTGGTCAGACAGGTAGAAATACCGATGATTTTCTTAAATTTGATCATTTTTATGAACCTATTTCAGCCAAATCCGATCGTTATTTTCCATAAGGAGTCTCACTTGATATGTTTATGTAGTATTTGAAAAAAAGACAAAAAATAAAGTTACTTCACCGTGATGCCCCTTTAAGTAAAAAAAAAATCTGCCACAAAAAAATAAAGGTTGTCATAATTTTAAAGAATTTAGATAGAAATTTATGTAAAAAGGATTGACTTTTGAACCTGCGTTACCTAACGCGTATGTGTCAAAAAATAAAGATATAATAAAATAGAATTTCACTTAAAGAACCCAAACTACCAACCTGTACAGAAGTGACCAGGAGTGTATATATACAATCTAGGACAAACTGGAGTACCATATGGGGTAACGACAGGCAGATTCGGACGTCATGCACGCAGATTCGTCGAGCACTTTGCAATGAAAATGTCGTATGACATCATAAGGTTTTAAAGTGAAAACGTCATCTTCAAATAATTCGCGATGACTTTGTAATCGCCATTATAGTTTTGATCAAACGATTTTTTTTTATCAATTAAGAAGCAAAATCGATCAATCCCGTTTTTCATAAAATCATTTATGATCGATAGCTTATAGTCTAAAGTTAAAATAGTTAGCATTTTTATAAGATACTTTTTTGAAGAAATTTAATACGTAACATATAAAATAAAAGATATGATTATTGTATAATTATATAGACTCTAATATAAATTATCTGACGAAGAAAATTTAATGACATAGCTGGCATGATATATCTTCATACGTCTCTGATTCGACCATTTCTAGGTCCTACCCCGTATCAACATTTGGTCTTTATATCTGCCCGAGGGTTGATGATAGGCACAGAGACGTATATAATTATACAGTACGCGTACATATGGTACGACATATATAAAAGGTCAAATGATCACACCATTAAGATATATCACGGAATATTAGAAAATTCCAATGTTAGACACTTGCGTCTATGCATGTTTTCGCCATTGACCATTGACCTGATATTATTTTTCCTCTTCTCGCTCGATAATCACATAAGTGATTGAATTCTAACTTACAGATAGTCTATTACGTCTAGAGACTGATGGACCCGGCTGATGATGTCAATGGATTCGCAGTATTTCACCAACTGTATAGGTACATATTTCTTCTGGGAAACCAGTGACTTCCAGGAAAGGCTGGATGGCAACCAAGAAAGATTGGTGACGCTGGATAGACAGATGACATCCAGGAACAGACTGGTATCTGGGCACTACGGGTTGGCAGCCCAAGGTGCAGTCCTTGCGAGAGGACACCATTAATCCAGCTACAACACAACAAGAAAAAACACTCCCCCAAAGCCTTCCGAGAAGGGGGGGGGGGGGGATGAAAGGCTTATACGGACAGATATAACGGAAACGACACGAACACGGACGCAAACTCGTTTGGTACAAACAACGCTGACAGGAGCATCAGCAGAAGTAAAGTGCCAGTGCGGAAAGGTGTGTAAGAACATCCGGGGATTGAGGATTCATCAAGCAAGGGTGAAGTGCAGACTTGTGGAGTTACAGACGCAGCGCTCAGAAGTAATTTCTGGTGAGACGCAGGAGGACCCCAGCCAGGAGGCACCCCATAGTGTTGGGGACCTCTCTGCTTCGGTTTCGTCACAGGTCAGCCATTCAGACTTGAGTGATACAAACCACGACCAGGGTGTTCAAGCACATCCAACACAGCCAGCACGAAGGTTGAGGATAGAGTGGCCAAAGATGAACAACAATGAAGCTTGGAGAAGTTTAGATGCTGACTTACATACCATCCTAGAGTCGGCTCTAATGGGAAGCGTAGAAAGGAAGGTTGAGGCAATGGGAACTTTCATCTACACATTCTGCAAGGAACGATTTGGATTAGGAGGAAAGCAGAGAAATCCTAAGAACGTAATTATCCCGAATAGAAGACAGGATAACATCCAACGACTCAGGCGAGAACTGAAAGCAGTCACACGACAGTACAGGAGGGCAAGTGATATAGAGAGGATAGGATTACATCAGCTGCGGGACGACATCAGGGAGAACTTGGCAAGACTCAGGAAAGCAGAGCAGGTTAAGAAGGCAAGGAAGGATAGAGCAAGGAAGAGGGAGTCCTTTATCAAGGACCCTTATTCTTTTACAAAGACTCTGCTGGGAGGGGAAAGATCAGGCCGTTTGAATAGTTCAACAGCAGATATTGAGCAACACCTGAGGGAAACGCACGGAGATGAAGATAGGGGCATTCCACTTGGGAACTGTCCACGGATAGAAGCAGAGGAGCCGCCAGAGTTTCCGCTTGACACCAAGGAACCAACTTGGAAGGAGATCCAAGATGTTG